CAGTCCATCCTAAAGGAAATCAATCCTGAATATTCATTGGAAGGACTGATGTTGAAGCTGAAACTCCAATACTTTGACCATCTGATGCGAAGAACTGACTCATTGGAAAAGACCCTGATGCTGGGAAAGATTGAAGGAGGGAGGAGAAGGGGACAACAAAGAATGAGAAGATTGGATGGCATCACCGACTCAATGGACATGAGTTTGAGTAAACTCTGGGAGTTGGTGTTGAACAGGGAGGCCTGGCATGTTGCAGTCCATGGGGTCGCAAAGAGTCAGACATGATTGAGTGACTGAACTGAACCGAACTGATTGTGTCAGGATGTTCTTTTTTTTTTCTTTTGTCAAGGATGTTCTTAAGTGAAGCCTGCCAACAACCACTCCCCCACCCTCCACTGCACAAAGGCAAAGCATAATTATTATTACTAGCTTAGTCTGACTGCCTGGACTCACTGATGTGGCAGTTTTACTTACCAACACGTCTGCACCATCGTTGCTATTAATTATTAGTTATTATTAACTGATAATGTCCTAGTGTCTTTGAAAAGTATTTTCCTGGATGACTTAGGATCCACAGGTGGTAAAACTGACAAGAACACACATAAAATTGGAAAGAAACACACCAAAATGTTAATAGTGGTTGACTCTGAATACTAGAATTATAGTCAGTTTCAATTTTCTTTACTTGGCTTACCCCTATTTATACAATTTTACAGTGAACAGGTATTATGTGTCTAAAACAGAAAAAGAAGTGTATTTAAAAAAAATAAAAGCAGCACATTTACGTGCAACAAGCAAAAAGGTATTATGCATGGAACCAAAAAATTTCTAAATCTTTATCCAAGATCTAGTTTTAGGATAAAAACAAAATTCGTATTATTTTGTATGTAGGGACCTTGTTATGTTTATTTTCCCTTTAATCCGGAGGGAAAGAAGAGATGGGGAGAAATATGGATGTAGGTGAGTGGGGGAGCGGCGCAGATGTAAAGAAAAGCCTGTTCATCCTGGAAACCCCCAACAGTTCCCAGCACATAAAAAGTTATCCAATTAATGTATATAGAATAAACGCAGGAAAGGAGATGGGGAGACTGTTAGGGACGGGAAGGCTGCGGGGACCTCA